CTAGGTCCTTTTTGCAAGTGACCGCGAACTTTTTAGTCAACCTAATATTTAGGAAATGACACGACTAAAGTTCATGACTTCAATTATGAGATAAAACTTTTGTTTGCTGGCTATGTCTATAAGAAAAGTTCAGATTAAACTGTTTCATTCATTCTTGGATTTCATAATACATACTTCAATATTCAATTATATTCTAAATTCACTTAGACAACTCCTAATTACTTCAGGAAACACAGAGCACAACACATACTGTTGAAAGTTAAGCACAATGCGAACAGTTTGCTTTTCTATTCAAATTACTGGCTAATGATGTTTCAGGACACGTAACAAGGATAAAAATGGTGATTTCAATTATTGCTTCAATCAATATTGAATTTATTTTTCTTGTTGTTTCGTTCACACTATCAGCATGTCTTATGGAAAAAATAAAACAGACGATGACTTATTTTCTTTGCAAAGAATCGGTAAAAAAGTAAACAATCAATGCGACATGGTATCCAACGCATTGGTTTTCAAGTGATTCCTATGTGGATGAAAAGCAAACGACAGTTGGAAAGAATAACAGTACAATTAATGATGTTGTTCGGTTTTTTTCTCTTTCATTTGTTGTTGACAACCATATTTTCAATTGCAAATAGGTGGAGTTTGTCCTTGAGTGTCAACGAAAAAAAATGTACTCATATTTGACGTCGTAGAAAAATCTAGAAAAAAAAACATCCAACATTGAATGTATAAATAGAAAACAGTGGTCTCTATCCAAACAACAATTGATCATTCACAATATTCAATCGTCGAGCAAACGTTGAAAACAACGTCGAAAATGAGTAGACAACGACGACTACGAATGGCTGAAAATTATCTGGTCATCTGGGTCGATGGTAATATCGACATGGCAAATGAAGATTGCCAGAATACAGTCGCGCAATTGCGCAGTGTTGTTAATGAAGTCAATCCATGCACCACGGTCGAACAATGTATCAAGAAACTCCAGGAAAACAATGAGGAGACATCATTCGTCATCTCCTCAGGTAAATTAGGACAACACCTGGTACCAGAAATTCATGGCATGCCAAAACTCGATGCCATATACATTTTTTGTGGCAACAAGCAACGTCACCAAGAATGGGCTAAAAATTGGCCCAAAATTAAAGGTGTGCATACATCAATCAAGCACATCTGTGAAAAATTGGCACTAGCTGTCAAACAATGCAATCAAGATCAAGTAACGGTCAGTATTATTAGTGTTAATGAAGGAGGTTCTAGCGAAAATCTCAATCAGCTAGAGCCTTCCTTCATGTACACACAAATATTCAAGGAAATACTCCTTGATATGGAACATGGCCAAGAAGCCATAAAAGATTTGGTTGCCTTTTGTCAAGAAAAATACCTAGGCAATACCAAGGAACTCAAATTAATCAATGAATTTGAACGTACTTATCGTCCAACATTGGCCTTATGGTGGTATACACGCCAATGTTTTATATACAAAATGCTCAATCGAGCATTACGAGCACTCGACGGTGACATTATCATCCGAATGGGATTTTATCTATGTGATGTTCACCGACAAATTGAAGATTTACACAGCAAACAGGTCAGTCAGTATCGTGGGAAGTTCTTTTCAGTTTATCGGGGGCAGGGGTTATCGACAAACGATTTCGAAAAACTTGCAAAAAACAAAGGTGGTCTCCTATCTTTCAATAATTTTTTATCCACCAGTACAGATCGTGATGTTTCCCTCGGCTTCGCCAAAAATGCCTTAGGAACAACCGATATGGTTGGTATCCTTTGTCAAATGACTATCGATCCCACGGTGTCATCAACACCCTTTGCCTCCATCCAGGAGGTGAGTTATTACAAGGACGAAGAGGAAATTCTCTTCTCAATGCATTCAGTTTTTCGAATTGGTGAAGTTCGAAAACTTGACAACAAAAGTCCACTTTATGAAGTGGACCTTAAACTCACATCAGATGATGACCAACAACTTCGTCAATTAACCAATCGTATACGAGAAGAATCTTCAGGTGGTACTGGATGGCATAGAATGGGTAAATTGCTGCTCAAAATTGGTCAATTTGACAAGGCCGAAGAATTGTACATGGCACTACTAGAACAAGCATCCAACGACAGTGATAGAGCATATATCTATCACCAGCTTGGATGGTTGAAAAACGACCAAGGACAATACAAACAAGCAGCTTCATTTTACGAAAGGTCCCTCGAAATCTATCGAAGAACTCTATCAGAAGATCACCCTTTAATAGCTAATACCTACAACAATATTGGTCTCGCATATAGCTACATGAGTAACTACTCTAAAGCAGTGGAATTCTACAAAAAAACAATTAAAATAAAAGAAAAAGTTTTGTCTCCTGATGACCCGGATTTGGCTCTATCCTACAACAACATCGGTCAAGTGTATAACAAGATGGGTGACTACTCGAAAGCACTTGAATTTTACGAAAAAGACCTCGAAATCACGAAAAAAGCTTTACCTCCGAATCATCCCGATTTAGCTAGTTCCTACGGTAGCATTGGTGGAGTCTATAACGCCATGGGTGACTATTTGAAAGCACTTGAATTTTACGAAAAATCGCTTAAAATAAGAGAAAAAGTTCTGCCTCCGAATCATCCCTCATTGGCTACTTCTTACAACAACATCGGTGGAGTGTATAACGACATGGGTGATTACTCGAAAGCACTTGAATTTTACGAAAAATCGCTTAAAATAAGAGAAAAAGCTCTGCCTCCGAATCATCCTCATTTGGCTACTTCCTATACTTGCATCGGTCAAGTGTATAAGAACATGGATGACTACTCGAAAGCACTTGAATTTTTCGAAAAATCACATCAAATCTTCGAAAATGTTCTACCTCAAAATCACCCTCATTTGGCTATTAGTTACTTGAATTTTGCAGCATATTACGAAAGAATGGGTGATTACGCCGCAGCTCTTAAGGCTCTTCGAAGTGCTTTTCAAATTCAACAACAAGCATTTCAAGAAGGTAATCCAGCTTTTGCTTCAACATATAGTAGGTTAGGAAGAGTTTATCACAGTATGAAAGATTATTCAAAAGCACTTGATAATTTCGAAAAATGTCTCGCAATACATCGGAAAGCCTTACCTGACAATCATCCAGATCGAGCTATTACATATAGTAATATAGGTGATGTTCATCGATTAATGGGTAATCATGAAAAGGCACTTTCATTTCATCAAAAAGCATTAAATATTCAAGAAAATGTTCAATGTAATCCTCTGGAATGTGCAACGACATATATAAATTTAGGTGAAACTTATCGTGAAATGAAAGATTATTCAACAGCATTGACATATTTTGAAAAAGGATTAGAAATACGTGAAAATAAATTACCAAAAAATCATCCTAGTTTAGCTGCTGTATATCATAATATGGCAAAATTATATTTGGCTACACGAAAATATAGTATGGCAATGAAAAATATTCAACAAGCAGTTGAAATAGCTCAAGAAAAATTACCTTCAACTCATCCTCATCTTTTGGAATATAAAGAAACATTTGAAAAAATTCGAAAGAAAATGTAATTCATTATTTTTTTTTTCATTTACTTGCTCAATAAATTGGTTTTGATTCTTTTTCACTTCCCTACTTTTCTAGGCTCATTTTCACGCGTACGCGCGCGACCAGGGAGAGGCCCTATGCGTATGAAACAGGTACACACAGAGCGGACCACGCCGGACTAGTAGGACAATGTACATAGGGTACCGTACATAATGACGGCAGGAACCTCCGTATATTAAAGGCCTTCGCGAGTACTACACTGCTTTCGCTATTCCATGACGAATAGAATCTCTCTCTGGATCAGGTTACGAAGCCACCTGACAAGGCTGTGATATAAATTGGTATCCATCTTCTAACATAAATAACATAGACTTAACATAATAATAATACACACTAAATATGTACAACAACGAAGAAAAAAATTATTTCATCCGAAATAAATCATCTATATCTCATTCTAACATTATCTCAATGTAAGTATTGTTATGAAAATTTAATTTAGAATTGTTCTTTCAAGAAAACAAAAAAAAAGTTTTTTTTTTATCTTTCAACTATTACTTTATTTGTTTAAGTCTTTCTCAAGATAAATAAGATCATTTTTGAAGCAACATAACCAATCTTGTTATTGGTATAAATCAATAATAAATCATATTCTTTTTTAACATTCTCATGTTTTTTATAATTTCATATAAATCAAAAAACAAACAGATGAATTTTAAAAACATCATAGAATAAATTTCTATCACAAATCAATATATCCTAACATATATTATCATTGAAATCAAAAACATTGTAAAAAAATATGAATCATAATATAACATCATTGAATGAATGAATGAATGAATTTCATTATAAATTAATGCATTGTAAAGCAATGAATTTAAATAACATCATTCAATAAATTTCATTCTAAAATAATACATTTTAATATAATGATTCAATAAACATCATTGTAAATTAATGAATTTTAACATAATATCATATAATAAACTTCATTGTAAATTAATACATGGTGATGCATCATAATCTGATAAATTTCATTGTAATATAATGCATCTTTATATAATATCGTTCAATAAATATTATGGTAAATTCATGCATTTTAACATAATATTATACAATAAATTTCATTGTAATTTAATACAATGTAATGCATCACAAATTTTCATATTTCATTTTAAAATAATGCATCTTTATATAATATCATTCAATAAATATTATTGTAAATTAATTAATTTTAACAGAACATCATACGATAAATCTCATGGTAATTTAATACATTTTTATGTAATATCATTCAATGAATATTATGGTAAACCAATGCATTTTAACGTAACATCATATAATAAATTTCACTATAAATTGATACATTTTAATGCATCATAAATTGTATACATTTCATTTTAAAATAATGCATCTTTATATAATATCATTCAATGAATATTATCGTAAATTAATGAATTTTAACAGAACATCATACAATAAATGTCATTGCAATTTAATACATTTTTATGTAATATCATTCAATGAATATTATGGTAAACCGATGCATTGTAACGTAACAACATATAATAAATTTCATTGTAAATTAATACATCTTAATATAATATGATTCAATGAATATCATTGTAAATTAATGAATTTTAACACAATATCATACAATGAGTTTCATTGTAAATCAAAACATTTTAATCCATTATGAAATTGATAAAATTTCATTGTAATATAATGCATTTATTGAATTGTACAGAAATGAATTTTAATAACACCCACCCCTAGATTTCGTTCTAAAAAAATGCATCATTATATAATATCGATCAATAAATATCATCGGAAATTGATGTATTTTAATTCTTTGCGTCCCAAATTATTTCTGCTGGACACTGACACGTCCAGATAAAAACTAACATGCTCGCATACGGATTCACGTGCGCACATCTACACACCCATATCGACAAACTCGACACTCACCACATCCACACCGTTGAACATTCTTTATTGCTACATTCCAGTAAATTACATAATAATTATTAAACATGTATAGATTTCTTTTTCCTACTATAGAATTTAAAGGTTTAACATAACATTATGTAACAAATTTCATTATAAATGTATACATTTTCATACATTATAAACTCATACGTAGCATTGTAAATATATTTCATTTATAATATTGTAAATAATTATAAATTGATAACTGTATGTCAGTCATGAAAAATCATAATGTAAAATAACACTAATTATTGTAAGTAATATAAAAAATTGTAAACCGTGAAAAATAAATCATGTGAGTGTCATGTTTTATCTTAATTGAGCATGCTCATGATTTGTTCGATCGAATCGTATGAGAATACTGGTGAAAATGTGTTTCTTATATATATGTGTTCAAACATACACGTTACCAATCAAAGACATTCTAATCATGTTGATATCAATTTGACGAACGATAATTGACGATGATGTGCACATTCGAATGTAATTGATTTGATTAATCATCACATGATTAATTGAAATGATGAGACACGAATTAATTTCATCGTTTTTCATGTACATGGATGTGAATACTTGTCCTTTGTTCATATACAGTCCTTCGTGGACAATACATATTCTTTTCTTTCTTTTTTTTTGGATCAGAAGAAATTTCTATTCATCATCATCATCATCATCATCATCAAAAAAACAAGAGCAATTAATGTGAATCACAAATCATAGAATTATTTTTTCGTACGACTTTTTAAAATTGATTAGAGTGCATTATTCAAATGAACATATTCATTTTCTTGAAAACACAAGATCAACAAGTCTGTTGAATACGACTGTACTGTCATTATATAAAAACTCGTTAAGACAAAGTCAAATAACTGTACAGAAAATTAAAAAGTTTTCATAAAATTTGATTTCTATGCCATCGAATGAATATTCCTATTGAAATTAAATCAGTAATATCCAGTTGGAACTTTTAAACGAGTATTTTTATCAATTGAAACAAAATTCTTTATTAAGAAAAAAAAATTGAAAATAAAAATCACTTCAATACGTTTACTTGAAGATAAATTTCGATTTCACATGATTGGTTTGCTGATATATAATCAATTTTTCAGTTGAATATTGATGGTAGTAAATAAAATATACATATATATGATTCAATCTGAACAAACACTATCAGTAGCACATGACTTATTTTCTGTCAAAAACCAATTTTTTTTTCGTCGATATTATTATTTTTATTGTACTCGAAAAATACCTAAGGAGCGAGCTCTTATCATTCGATTCCTGTAAAAATATTTTTGACTTCAAAAATTAAGAAATATTCTCTCAAAATGTTTCGCCGATACATGGGATTAGTAGATGAAAGTCCTACAATTGAAAATTTCTTTGCTACTAAACTGAAAGAGGAATGATTTTCTTTAGAAAAACAATTTAAAATTAAGGAGTTGGTTTTTACTTTTGAATAAGTAATATTTTTATTCATCCATCAGATACATTAATTCGATCATAGGGTTTCTATCATGTTGTTTGTTCTTGTTCATATGTAATTATTATTGATGGATATGAAGCAACAGATCGATTTTAAAATTTTCTTTTGTTTTCCTGGTAAATAAGAGTTTTTACTGTCTACCTTGTTTTTCTATTATTAATAAATGATTTCTCAAATTTTTGCACAAAGAATGAAAAAAAAACCTTAATGTTGTTTTTTTCAGATCCATGTAAACGAATAAAATTTCATATCCCAAATGAAAATCATTTTTTTTATATGTTTGAATGAGTCAACGATGAAATTAAATATAGCTAAATTAGTCATTTACAAAAATTCATATAAACAATCATTTAACTTAGGCTATTATCCCTTCATATAATACTATAAGTGATTAGCTTTTGGCTCTTAAGAGCTGGCATCCTTGACATTTTTTTTTACAAATATAAACTAATTTTCAGCTAGAGTCGAGTTTGTTACATCATTTAGAATTTCATTTAATTACGTTAGCGGTTGCCATATCATTCTTGCAGATCAATAATCAACAGCAGGAAAAAAAACTCTATTGATTCTGAAGAAACTAGAAAAAAATTATATCATAAAACAAAAAAAAACAAATCTTGATTACATACTACTTTCGTCTGTTATAAATATGACCGATTGACTACATGGATATCCTTTATCAATAGAATCTAATGAATCACAACGAATTCTAGCAAATGTTCCATTTATTGAATCGATTCCAATATTTGCTGGTGATAAATTATTAAAGAATAATTCTATTTTTAATGATTGAATTCTATTCATTGGTTGTAACAGACAAGAATATTTCATTTTAAAGAACTTTGTCAGAACAGATAACAAACGTTCAATAGATAAAGTCATCTATACCATTTTCTGGAGCAACTCGTGACGTATCAAGTAGTAATATTCTGGTCAGCCATATACCAGTTATGGAATGTTATAGGATTGGTCACTTTTGTTCTCAGCAACAGCATTCAAGAATTTAAAAACTTCATTAAAACCAAAAACTACAGATCCCAGTAAAAATATTAAGATTTTGAATAGGAAAAAGGGTATTTGTCAAAATTATTAGATATACACGATTGAAAAACTCTATAAGATATCTATTTTATATATCTCAACTGGTCGAGTGTGATTGGAAAGGTTTTATACGACATGTTTGTTCATTTTTGTCTCACTAGAAAGGATTTCCAACGAGACACTCTTGTCAAATATGAACTTAGAAATTTCATTTCAATTTTTACATTTTCACTATTATAATTCGAACCTAAACATTGGAATCTTTATTTAGATGTTACCTTGTAATCTACTTTTTGACTGAAAATCATGTTATGTTGAAAGCATCTATTCTACAAAAACGGCATCGATGGTCAACTAACGTTTGTATTTGATAAAGTCTATTATGAAAAAATAATATTGATTGTTCAATAATTATGAAAAGACTAGAAAATATTTAATTGAAATTTTTTCTCTTAATTTTTAGAAAATTATTTTCTGATTTACTTGAATATTTTGCCTATTGTAAATAATAACTTCTCATTTGGATTTAAACAATATATCGTAAAATATTTTTTTCTACTAGTATAACTAGGTGAAAATTTTGTTATTACAGAACGTTTTAAATCAAAGCATTTTCCAACTTTTGCTGGTAAATTATTCATTTTTTTGTATGTTTTTAAATTAGGTTCGATTTCAATTATTGAACTATCAATGAAATTCGATCGTGTGTTATTCATTTTAATACCATTTGACTTCATAGTCGATTAAATAGCCATTGATTTCAAATACTTATTGCCAATTTATGTTAAATTTTCTAGTTGATCAGGAATTTGGAAGAAAAGAATTTTATCACGAGAAATGAATGATGAATATAATCTCTGTATTAGTCTATTTGAAAAAGCAAATATTTAGCAAAGAGAAAAAAATCAACTATGTGTTTGAATCTTGAAAGATGTAAGGTAAAATTGTGGTGGGTGTGGGTGTGGGTGTGGGTGTGAGTGTGTTGGTTTGGGTGTGTATGTGAGTAAAAACACTCTCACTCACACTCTACACACCCACACCCACACCCTCCTATGTATATACAGTAAAATCTCTGTTAACGAACACCTTTATTTAGTGAACACTTCCTGTTTGAACGCATATCTCAGTCCCCCCGATAAATTTTTGCTGTAAATAGACTTCTATTTAATGAACACCTCCCAACTTTGAACAATGAACATGATCTTTGGTCCCTGCAGTAAAGAAAACCTCTAAATAGTGAACATACATACAATAAATCATGCGCGTGTATATAAAATAATAGCATACAAGAGAACATAGCATATATTTTGAAGCGGAGATAGGTCAACTCATTGACAGCCTATTCATCATGACAAATTCGTCACATGTATGAAACAAAAACATGAATAGTCCATGAGGACGAACTGACCGATCGCATGCGAAAGAACAACATTTTATCATGTATGATTGTGAAATGACAACAAGACATACATTAACTCTTTCTGAAAAGATACAATTAATTCGTGAAAATGATTTGATAAATAATTGATTTGTGCGGTAAAGTATAAAATCAATATTAAATAAAAATTTCCAACATTCAAAGCGCAAAATACGTTATGGCTGTTTTTTGTCCAAAACACGTGTGAATTCCGCTCTTAGTTGTTATTTTTCATGAGTTAATATTAAATATATTTTAGAAAATTATGAAATTAAGAAAAATATATGTACAACACAAATTACTCTACTAAAGTATCTGAACGAAAGAGACATTTGTAAATCACTTTTTGAAGAAGTTTCATGAAATCAAAATTAACCTCACCACTTGAAACTGTTATACTGTTAGACTTGCTTCTACTGAGGCACTCAATAATTTACTTCGGATATGTTTCTTTTCTCGTGTACTGGTAACTTCGATGAGGATCGAGGAATCTAACAGTGCTTAAGGAGTCAAGAATGGATATCTGATAAGACACAGTTTTCCAGTGGTCGGAATCCGATGGCTGCCAGGGCTCAAAATCGGAACAGAACGAACAAAAAAACAATATATTTCAAATTTTCGAGTGCTTGTTGCACCCATCGTATGCTTTTTAGAGTCTGCTTGAGAATGTTCTAACAACGCTATTATATGCACTAAAAATACTTTAATCAACAGTATCCGATGCCGAAAGTTTAATGTCAATATCTTGCACTCATCACAAGAGAGAACGCCTATTTATTGTGCCGATCAATCCATGTGACAAAAATATTCGTTCTAATTAAGATATTTTTATATGTCTAACGTCTCGTCGAATGAACCCTATCCAAATGTAAAAACTACATCACGATTATATGCTCATCTGTCTGACAAGATATCATCGTCGTTTTTCAACTAGATAGAATACATTCGGATCTGGTAAAAATTTCTAGAGCCAATTTTTTAACTTGAGAAAATATTCCAACAAAATTACTATGTAGGGTGCTTTTAAGGTCTTGCAGACGTACAATTCTGTATTAGAGACACTTTTTGAACACTTTTACAAAACCAGCATGGTAGTGAATGGACTACAATCGGAAAGACCTTCAAAAATGATAGAAGAAAAAAGTCAATGAAGTTCATGATGTTTGTGAAAATATACCATTATCGAGTATTCGAATTATTGCTACAACCTGCTTCGTTCCACGAACAAATACAGTCCGAATTATAACTGAATATTTTCCAATGAAGCCATACAAGGTGAAATTCGTCGAACAACTTCATAAAGAAGACTTACAAGATCGAATTAAGATTGGCTCACTTTGATACCACTGTTAGAAAATATCGATAATCACGAGAATTTGTTTCTTTTCGGACGAAGTCTCTTTTCATTGAAATGGTTCATCGATAAATATAAAGTAAAAACCAATGTGTATACGCTAGATATAAAGATCCAATTGAATTCAAGATGAGAACTGATAACGGAAACAAATTAATTCGAAAATAAACTTTCTGCAATACTTTTTTAAAGATGTCAAAAATGAAGTTAGATATTTCAGTTGATAGTAATCATCATTTTGAATATTTATTGTCAACCAAATTATATGAAATAAAACTTAAGACAACATACTACTATGTTATAAAAAAATAGTCAAAACGCTTGAACTGTATAAGAGATATTTACGTTAACTTTTCCACCGGACTATTTAAACACTCTGTGTATATCCCGTTTGTTCTTCCATGAATGAGCTCTCACAGACGGTATTTCTCGCGCCAATTCACACAACGAAATATTGTAAAGAACGTTGAATAGGTTACAAGTAGGCATGGCTAGCGTCAGTTACTCTCGCAGGAGGAAGGTTGAAAATCAGAGAGGTAAAGAAAACTCTGTACAATCGGAAATGCACCATCGAGAGATTACCCACCCACACCTTGTCATTGATTGATAAAAAGGAAACTTATTCCCTACAGCACATGTTTTGTTAAAGGATCTAAAGATCGATATTTTATGGCAATAATTTTGCATCGTATATTAGGTAGAATATTCATTATAATGCATTTGTATGCAGTAGTTTTATATTTCAAATACATACTTATATTTCAATTGTAAATATCAATCCCTTGATAGAACTGGTCCATATGTCAAATGAAATAAGATGCTATTTACAAAACTAATACCTTATTACTTCAAAACATATAAATATTGAAAAAAAATCTGCCGATATCGGATATAACATTAAAGTGAAAATGAATTGTCTTATTGTTTTTCTCTTGTGCTTAATTACACCATTATCAATTTCAATATCAATACGGCGTCCTCCATGTGGTTCAGTATGTGATATATATTGTCAATTCGGCAATGTAGCAGATGCAAATGGATGTCCAGTATGCACATGTAAGAAGACTCCATGTGAAAATAATCAAGATTCATTAGTAGGATATTTTTGTGGGAGGGGTCCTGATCGTCGTGAATGCCCACAAACACATTATTGTCATATTGCACCAAATGATGCTTATGCTGTTTGTTGTCCTCGTCGCTAACCATTGACAAGAAAAGAACAAGTGAAATTAATTTAAAAACTGAATTCACATTAATATTATTGAAGACGATGGTTATTTCTATTGTTCGATGTACTAACAATAGCGATAGAGAAGAAAATCTTCAATGTTATTGTAGTTGCTCTCATACATGTGTAAAACTGTTTTAATAAAAATGAAATATTTTACAACAAAATTGTACATAAAAGAAATCATGTCAACTTATTTCTTTTGGTCAGCTTAATAGACAGAAAAGGCCAGATGACATATGAAGAAAGAGTGCTAGGCTCAAAACATGTTGTTATTTCTTGACGTTTTTCACACTACCTCAGAAGTATATCTTCTCCTCCTTGCATTCAATTGAAATCGATGCAGTAAGTATAACCGTTGGACGAGCATCATCCCAAAATCATGTATATAGATGTACCATCAATAATCAATGATGTATGATTATATTTTATAATTAATCTTCGATCTGTTATCTTCAGTATTTCGATTATCAAGTTTGACACATGCCTATTGTCATGTTCTAACTTATGATCAAACGAAAAATTAATATACGTCTACTTTTAGCATGAGTAAAAGTAGATGATACAAAATTGAATAAAATGATAAATCATTGTTATTATAAACTGTATATAACGACAAATCAGAAAGAAATATTTCCAACAAACAAAGTTAATTAAAAAAATTCAATAATTATTCTTTATTATTCTCATCGTATAAAACTAAAAAAAATAAATGTGAATATCACAGAGATTAATAAACAGAAGCAAAATAAAAGATACAAATAGTGTATTACACTTATTATTGTCTATTAAATTTTTTTATAAGATCTCGTACTGACACTTTTATTGAATCTTCTTCGTTGTCACTTGAAGGTAAACATGAATGTTTGATTGTAATTGGTTGTTTCTTTTTTATTACTTCTGAATAAGTAACATTTGTTGATATTCGACTTTCTACATTTTGATAAATATTATCCGTCAATACTCTAACTTGTTGTTTCGGTTGTCCTTCTTCTTCAGCAACATTTAAATAAGAGTTCGTATTTAAAGACGGATTATATACACTATCGACACATGCATCAAAAATAGGTTCCTATAAGATTAAAAAATCCACAAGATAATCAAAGAAAGTCAACTATTTAATTTTCTTCTTTTTGTTTTTTTTTACTTTTTGTAAAAAAGCTGATGGCATCCAAGTAAGAATATAATCATCTTTTAATCGTCGTCCAAGCCACCAACCACTTGAATGTTTGTCATGTATTTCAATAATATCACCACGTTGTAATGATACACAATCACCAACATTATCAATAAAATCACTATGAACATAAAATATTTCTGGTTCACTATAATTATTTGGATATTCATCATGATCACTCTAAACAATAAAGAAATATACGATAGAAAAAAAATATATATACAATAAATAGTTTTAATCAAACTTGTTCATAATTATTCAAACTACTCAATCGATGATTTAATGTATTAGAAGGAATATTTGATTCTTCTTCTAAATAAAAAAAGAACAACAACTAAACAAAATAATTCAATTTTTATTTACTTGTGACATTTACTGGAATAATTCGTCCTTTACATGATGTTAAAAAGATAGCTGGAAATTGACCAGTCATATTATTAAAGCTAAATAATAATAATTCAGTGTCGTATTTTCCTAGTTGAAAAATGTTTACTTGACTATCCACCATCCAGTAAATGATTTTTCAAGAACAGTTACAAATGATCCTTGATTTAATGAAATCTCATCTCGACTTTTTGCTTCATATGACTTATTAACAACATAAGTTTCATCTATACAAAAAAAAATAGAAGATGCTGTATTATATTCAAAATTTAAATAACACAAAAAAAAGAAACCTAGTTGTATTCTCTTGACTGTACTACATCAATTTTAAGAAAAGCACAAAAGTTCTTGCTATCTTTTTTTCTTCATAGGAAATGGCGAAAAAACCCACTTTCGTATTCTTCTTAAAATTGGTGTAGTTGTGTCGAAAGATGCCGTAGAGAGCTTGAAGATATCTCATTTCCTAGAGAATTAGTTGCTCTATCACTCTGTGTAATCAAAAGAAATCTTTATTTTGAAGTTCTAAGTGCTGGAAAAACTAAATTTTAGGAATACATCGAGGATTTTGTTTCTATCAAATATTTTTTGAAAACAAATTTCTCTACCCTAATAACTATTTGGATTCAATATGACACTTGTCATTACGTAAAAAATTTGAGATTAAATCTATATGATCAATTTTTAGAGCTACTGTATCTCTACAATATGTTCTATAATCTGGATGAATAAAACAAACACTTTTGGTGAAAAGATTGTTAGTCTAAAAAACCAGCTAATGAATACCTAAGGAGATTTCTCATGGCCATATTCGAAATTATCATGGTGGATAACCTACGATTCACTAACATCCGATAAGAAAGCGATCTGACGATTTCCTCACAAATCTACATGTGGCACCTTTTTGAAATAAATTTGTCTCTTCTTCATAGTGGTAGCGAACGACTCAGTAGATCGAACAGATTGTTTTTTTTCTATATCCTCTTCTTCGTACGATATTGTTAGACTGTTTGTAATATCTGTCTTAATTTTGTTAATACTGACTAGATGATGTCGAAAGTGTATTCGTTTCATGAATATCTCGTGGTTGTTCGATGGGTTCTAGAAAAGCTCCAGGCACAAATCCAGTATGATCACCATGTTGAACAAACCACCAACCTTAGAAAAAAAAGAAAACATAAACAACTAATAAAATCCTTCAAAATATATAAAATAAAACAAACCATTTAGATGTTTATGAATAACTTGAATAAGTGTATTTCGTTTTAAAGACATTTCTGTTTTTTCTATTGCTACAAAATCATCCAAACATCGATATGTTGGTAATTTTGATGGTTCACTGATTATCATTGCACTTTTAGTAACTGATTTTTTATTACGAGTTAAAAATTCGATTTGATTTTGTACATCAGTTGGTAATGGTTGAAAAAATTCCAGTACACAACGAGATCGAGATATTCGTTCAGGTAAAGAAATTAATGTCTAAATTATCAAAAAAGGTTTTGTTTTTATATTAAATAATATTTATTACCTGACAATATATATTAAGAGCTTGTTTTCGTTCTAATGCAACTTGACGTATTTGACTTCGACCAAGAAAAATTTTTCCTGAGAAAAAAAAATTAAAGATTAATTTCTTTGGAATTTAGATTTTATGTTTATGTACCCGGAAGAAATGGAATTAGTCGTGATTGAGTATTATAATTATTCGATGGTGATGGAGCTTCGGCGAATAGATCAAGTAGTTTACACTTAAATAAAGATTTATTATTTTTCTTTTTCGATATCATTTCTAACTTACTTGAAGATCAAAAAATTGAGCATAACGCCGATAGATTATAAATGTATTTGTAGGATTTGACCATGTTACTTGAATAACATAGACCTAAGAATATGAAATACAGATTTTATCCAATATAGCCTTTTTTTCTTTTTACAAACATACGTAATGTTTTGGTCCTGGATTATATCTTTTTTCAATGTCCACGACTTTAACATCGACAACATAACTATTTTTATTCGCTGAAGATTTATCTATCATCTATAACAAGACGTCGAATGACTTGTTTTATGTTTCTTGTTGAAATAAAAACAAAAGCGAATTTTTATTGTTATTGTTATTTTTTCTCAACCTTATTTTTCAATTTTTACTTTCGATAATAATTCCTCAATATCAAAATCGATTGATAAATTTTGTTGGGATATTTTTTCAGATGATTTTATATTTAATAATAATAATTGTTTACTAGCAAACATTATTTCATTAATATCATCATCTAATTTAATTGATGATAGATGATCAAAATTTGTTAATAAATATTTTAAACAATTTTCACGATCTTGATTTGTATTATCACGTGAAGCAAAATTTAATACAAATATACCGGAATGATCTGAAAGTAATGTTTTAACATTTTTTAATATTTCATTATCAAGAAATGCTGGATGTGGACAACGTAATGGACTTTGACTATCATCATTATTCACATCGAATATAATCACATCATATATTGCTAGAAGAAGAAAAAAATACATCTTATTGAGTGTATCGGAATAAATGTTTCTTTCATGAGTGAAATTTTTTAACTGATCAATTACTCTCTCTTCGAAAGCTAGTGGATTGTCGAGTTATCGACCATCAGATTATCAAGTATACCGAATTGTCCAGGAAACAATAACTTCTTTTTTTTTATTTCCCTAGACAACTCGATATGCGCTATAACTTGAATAGATCATAAACGATTTTGGCAAAATGTTTGTTAGCCTGAAAAATCGGTTTACTAGAACACTAGCGTATACAGATCTATGGAAAATTTTTCACGGTTATATCATAAATCAACTCGGTCGATAACTCATAATTCAGTAGCGCTTGGTAAGAAAGCGATGGATCAGTTGAAAACATTCCTTCGTAAGTATTTTCTGAATAGTCTGATCAATAACGTCTTCCTATAATATATGAAATGCTAAGCAGAAGAATTAGATAAATGGTACTGCAAGGCTCAAACTTTCACACACTAAATAACCAGTCTGTTTGATTCTATTTGTTGGAAACTTGAACTAACGAAAAAAAATCCATAGTAACCTTGCAAGACTTGAAAAGCTCTATCGTTTGACTATATTGGTGAAATGTTTGTATTAGTACCTGCTATGTTAACGTATTATTTCTTTTTTGTAAATTTTACAATTATAACTATTTTAAATCAACGATTTGAGTCTTGCAGACAAATTTGCATAAGTTGAACAAAAAAAAAGTCAATATAGCTTAGCCTAATTTCAATTTTGGGAGTAATATATACAGTAAAGTAATGTTTGTATCAAGAAAATACTTGATTAAAACCAACTTCACTGTGTATCACGAGAAAGAACACACTTGGTTATACTCCTAAATATACTCTATCTAATCTTGTTCATCTAATTTCTCTGCTTGACATTTTATAGAAATACTTGTGATTCATCCTTGCAGAAAATTGTATTGTGAATCAAAAATGAAAGATTAAGGCTTGACGATAAATGTTGATCAGGAGCATTTATTCTACCGGATCCGTTATAATATAATTAATACAAAATTTATACTTTTTTCTTCTACTTGTTGTTGAAGATATTTAATACCATCATCAATTACACATTTTGTTAGACTATCATCAAGACCAAACCATTTTTTAGCTATTCGAATCATTTCACTATCAATATCAACACCTGTTAAATGTATCTAAATTTTTTTTTATAAATTCAAATAACATGTAATAAAAATAAGAAAAAAAAAACAAACTTTTGGAAAAGCTCGAATTAATTTCATTGTTAATACACCACCACCAAGACCAATTAAAAGCCAATTACCGCTCGGTTGAGAATTCTCTATTGAAAATAAATGAATATAATCTTTCAATTATTCATTCAGAGTTATACTGAAATGAAGATTGATATACATGAATAAAATCATTCATTAGCGACGTGATGGAGTACGAAAAAAAATGCTCTTATCAATAAATGAGAAGCTCAAAACCAATTCCAAAAGATACATATCCTTTTTCACAATCTCTACATAATGTTAAGACAAAAGTTTTTTATTTTATTTCGGAATTTGATACGATGATTTCAAGAAGATGAGCTTCTATAAATAAGAAAGTATGCATATGTTAAATGCTTACTAGTTGCAAGAAAATGAGTTTTCAAACAAGCAACAATAACTCCATGATAATCATTTTCCAATATGGAATAATCAGGCATAACTAAATAATATATATATATTTTTTAGAAAATCAAATATCTATAATTAACATACAATCATTTGTTTCTTCATTTGCAATTAAATTAATTTCACTTTGAATAAGATTTGGATTAGTATCAAAACGAAGACGTCGTTTCCATTCATTATCATTTCCATAAAGACAATCTTCAATAATGAATGATGATGATCGTTCACGAATTATTACTTGTCCAACACCTTCCGATGATGATAAGAAAGGAATCTATAATAAATATATGTTAATTTAATTAAAACAATTTTATTTTGTTTTTCAACCTGAAAATTATTTGGTAAATTAACTGGTTTAAAATCAACGACAGCATTTGTCATTTCAGATTTTACTTGTTCAAGATCACGATATTCTTGGTCAGATTGTAAATATATAAATGCTATTGTTGTATGTTTTGCATTAACAATTATTTGTTGTCGACCAGCTGGTGTTGAATAGAGCCAATCAAGATTTCTATATTTAGAAAAACAAACAATTTAATATTTAATAAAAATAAATAAAAAAAGTGTTAAATCAACCTTGATTTAGGTACTATGAATGCAGCAAATGGTTTATTTCGATATTTTGTAAGACTATTAACAACAATCATTTGATATCGTCGTTTAGTTTGATTATTTTCTGCATATAAATCTATAATAGGTGTTTCACTACCAGGTACAAATCTATTTTTTTCAAAAATTAAATTAAAAAAATAAACGAGAAAATCAAATTGTTCATATGACAAACTTTTGTTTAAAATCATATTTTTTAAAACATGTCATTTGACATTGTTGAATAGCATTTATTGCTTCGGATAATTCATTAAATCGAAGCCAATTTGTATCCGCATTATTATATAATTGAACTTCGATTAACTATAAAAGAGTAAAATGATATATTGCAACATTATAGATTATCAATTAAAATTCTTGTCAACAGTCTTATTATTAAAAAGATTCTATGATCCTTAAGATGTAATAAACTCTTGATATCTGAAGTTCATTATTTTCCTGTGACTTAGTTTGCCTCACGAAAAATAATAATAATAGGTGAAAAGATCTCTTTTTCGAACTTTTTCTTTTTGAATATTTCATGTATTATTATTGTGTAAAAACTATTGAAAAAAAAATAGAGAAAAAGTAAGAAGATATAACAATGATAATTCTTTGAGATCCAAGTCTATTCTCAACAAAATCTAATACTCAACCCTATGAACAATAACAAATACTTTGCAAAGGAAAATTCTTAATTTTTCAACTTCATATGAGTTCAAACTTAAAAAGTGTACAGAGTAATAATTCCCTTTAAAAAAATTGATAATCGATTTTTGATCGATTATTAAATAGTGGAAATAAAAATTTTCGAATCTAAGTGATACTAACATCTATGGGAATCTTCGGAAACTTTTAATCAAAAACGAAATCTTCTGAAGTAATACATATTTTCTTTTCCGATTTCAGATAGATAAATAGCTTTTATTAAAACAAAATTGTGAACAATAATACGCAATGATCCAGATGACAATTAGATTTTAAGAATTTATCAATAACTATTCGTACAATATTTAGTGAAAAGACCACATCATTCTGAGAAAATATTCAAAATTTCTAGAGACAGACACTTAGATTGTCTTAGTCAAATCGAAGTTGCAGCACTATTTTATTTTTTGAGTCCTTCAAACTGTTGTTTAGTTTCATCAATCAATGACTAACACTCTTTTTAAATTAGTAGTTGTATTCTATAATCAATATAGACTGACAAGTATTTAGAGCATTAAATTTAACAAATCATATCACAAAAACAGTGTACGACATCCTTCTTGTTTTTATATCGTTTAAGTTTTGTAGAAACGGCAGATGCAAGGATACATGTACAGATCAACTCCAAATTAATTATTTTTCACTATGTAAACTAATTTTCATTCAAAAAAAAATAAGAGAAAACTCACTCATCTACAATCCTGTAAAAATATGGTACTACAAACAAAATAGTTGAACGAAAGTAATGTGATAGATTTGATTTGTTTTTTTGTTAACAAATGAACGTCATACAATGATAAAATGTAAAAGTAATGAAACTAATGTAGTGATTTTAATGTTTTACAAATAATCAAGGTCATGAAATAAAAATGATGTAAAAATAATGAAAGTAACATGATGATTTTGATTTTTTTTTGCGTAATAATCGAATCCATCAAATGACAATAATGGAAATATAATGGTTTTAATGATTTACAAATAATCAAGAATATGAAATGAAAATAATGCAAGTATAATGAAAGTAATGTGATGATTTTGATTTTTTCTGAAAAATGAAATTTTTTTATATTACGGGAAAGGGAAATTACGAAAAAATTAATAGAAATCAGTTTGTTCTCCCTTAATAAATACCCAAAAATGGGTCGAGTATTCAGTAAAACAATCTTTATTCAGCTTCAAATGTCTATGGGAGATGAATACACCGAGATCTCCTTATGTATCCAATATGAGCTCAGACAGCGGATCATAGTTAGTGAAGTTCTTCAGTGAGTAACATTCGTTTGAACAAGTTTATTAGAATGAAAAGGGCAAGTGTCTGATAAAAACAAGTATTTCAATTATTGATCAAATGATTAAAAAATTATTTCAACGTGAAATGACTTTTAAAAAAAATATGATGAAATTAATGTTATAAAGTATTTATTAGACTAATTTAAAACATACCGGACTTTTCATTGTAATTTTCGTAAAAACAAATGCAAAAACTGGTAATGCAAATGATTTACTTGTTTGAACATGATGATAACGAAGAAGCCATGATCTATTTCATATATAATTTTAAAATATTTTATTGTCTTTTTTTTCTTTCAAAAACTACTACGTCACTTGTTATTAAAAAAATATTGTGATACATGATCAAGAATATGTTTTTGAGCAAGTGTTATACATATAAAACGACCTGTCATACGAAGAACACGATCAATTTGATGAAGAATTTGATCAATATCTGAAAGAACCTATTTTACACAAAAAAAAAGCATAAATAATTCATTTCTTTTCTTTTTCTTTTTTTTATACTTGTTCACTTTTATTTGACATTAATGCATCAATAGTTCCTTTATCTAATACAACACTAAATTGATTATCATCAAATGTCATCTAATATTAAGAATAATAAATTAAAAAAATTTCATATATGAAAAAAAACAAATATTTTAAACAAACTTGTCGTGCATCCATTGGTAGCCATTTCATATCAGGACGTTTTATTTCATTTTGTTTTTTCATTTGTTTTATAACTTTATCCGATAAATCAATATTTGTTATATGTTCAATACCTGTATCATATAAATCATTACTTAACGTTGAATTACCACAACCAATAACTAAAACTTCATCACGAGATTTTATATATTTGCATAGTATATTGGCTAAATCAATAAAATCTGAATACCTAATAGATAAAAAAAATAAAACAAATGCTGGTTGGTTTTTTTTAGAAAATTTTATATAAAATATGAATTTAAACAAACCATTCAAAAGCTTCTCGACCAACTTTATCAAAAAATTGATCCCAATAATCACGATTACGAAATTCATCAACTGCTTTCGGTAATAAATTCATGTTTTAGAAGAGGAAATAAACGGGTCTGGAGTTGCAAAGATCAATTGTATGACTCATTTATATGAGTCATTTTCTTCGTTGATGATTATCCAGTCACAAGTTAACAAAAAAAATATCATTCATCCAATTCCGCCATCTTTTCCGAGACAAAAAGGCTGTATTAAAAAGAAAAAAAAACCGAAACTCTACATTACTTAATAAACTATTCGAATATATTATTTTCATATAAAATACTATATCGGGTAATACATAATTATAGCCTCCTTTCCTCTTTTGTATACATATAAAAATGTTTGTTTTATTATCGCAACGAATAATATTCGATATGTGTATGTGATATTAATCAAATATTCCTTTATGCCCTCATCTCTTTTTCTGTCGCCTTTTGCGCTTATGAAGAATAAAGTTGTTAGCGCAATGCCTGCAGGATTAAAATGTAAAACGGGATGTAGATGTTGTTGCTAGTCAAAGGAAATTATATTATTCTATCTATTTTGGGACATATTTCTTCACCATTCTTTCACTTAATTCTCCTGCACGGTTAGTGTCCGTCGAGTTCGAAATTTTTGGATCCGGTCGAGTCATGTTTTGATACTCTCCATGAAATCTGCCAGTCGAAATTGAATAGTTGCTTCGAAGATATAAGATACTTTTTTTCGGTTTCTTTTTATCAGATGATTAGATCCCATCGGATCCACCCTGTCGACTCTAGTCATGGTCTGTACGACGGGAAGAGAGGTTCAAATTTTTATATCTATAATTCAAAACTCTTTTTAGATCGTGTTTCACAAAATTGAAGAAAACTAAAAAAATGATTGTAACATAAAGAATATTTCCGAACTAATGCGGAGTACGGCTTCTAGAGAAAAAGTTAATCGAATGCACACAACATTGCTTAATTACAACAACAAGGAGAAATGAAGATAAAGAAAATACTTAGCCAATTTTTAAAGAAAAGTACGGTATGAACTTTGCTCAGCTGTTCAGAAGGATACACATATACTCATAACAAGAAAGTACAAAGTTTCTGTTGTTCTAGTGATATAAAATTGATAACAGTCATTGCTTCTTGCTGTTATAATTAGGTAATGTTGTGTGCATTCGACTAACCTTTTCTAAAAGTCGTGTTCCACATTACTTTTTGCATGGTCAACTTAATTTGCTCTTTCAGGCCACACCCACTTGCTCCACTTTAAATGAATATGAATCATAAAAGCTATGAAAATGTCCTAAATCTTAAGATTTTGAAATATAGCATGCCGAAGAAATCATTATAAAGAATGGATAAGATACAAAAATAGTTATAATTACAATAAAATATTAAAATTACAAGATATGATGGCACAATTTATAGGAAGAAAAAATATCATTTTCGTAAATGAAGCTTATAATTATGTTACAACTACATTTTTTGGTTTTCTCCAATACTTTCTTCAAATAACAAATGGCAAAAAAGAAGAGATGAGAACATATACACATATCAATAGATGATCAATGTCATTCGTTGTTGAAATAAATCTCTCGAATACTAATTGTTTTATTTAAATTTTATTTTAATACAAATACTTCATACAAGAACAAATTAAATTCTTATCAGAGTCAGATTTACTCTGAATTAAACAAAAAGATTTTATCTAACTGAATTTTTGAATACTATATTTCAATATAAATTCTATCGCTGAACCTAATCTCAAAGAAGAACATATTAGATAAAGTAGTAAGAGAGCAACTTGCAACCTTGAAACATTATTGGGTAGATGATTTTTTGAGATCTATTATTTATTTTCAAACACTCAGATCAATCTTTTTCAGTATGTAACATATTTTTACTGTACTAGAAGAAAACGAATAGTCCAGATGAGACATTCTACATTTTGATCTAGTTGTTTTCGTCATTATCTTTCCTTCATTAATCTTCATATTTAGTCTTGCATGTTATGCCAAAATAAATACCGAGATTCAAAGAAAAAAAAAATATGTAAAACATTCCGAGAATAAAACATATTATGAGAGTTATTCTAATTATATAGTTATGTGTTGTTTAAACCTAAGCATAGTATCCTATAGATCTCTTTCATTAGTGACAGACTTTAATGTCTTCAAAATAATTTCTTCTATATTTATATATTGTTAAAATGAAAAACTAACTTTTTCTGATTTTCATATCATCAATCAATCGATAATCATTTAATTTTAGTTAGTATGAAATAACTTCGATAAAGTTTTTTTTCTTTATCGAAATTATAACTTCATCGGTTGATATTGTCTCGTTACGATATTGACATACGGACAAAAAAAAAAGCCTATGATTATGCTATACGCTATGCATTCCAACTAAATCTCAAGAATTTATCCTCATTATCTATATTTTACGTCAAAACAACTCGAGGAATTTTTGTTTTTGTAACATTCTAAAAACAAAGAAGCTCTGGATATTATTACTATTTACTGATAGACAAATTTGAAGTCAACTAATAATTTCTATTTATAACTTTTGTTATTCTTTTTTTCTTTCGTGCTATGTATGATAAAGACTTGAAAAAGAAATTAGAATTAGAAAAGTTATTGATCTTGCAGGTTATTTGAACCTACCTGATTTCGTGTCGTTTATGTTCTGGTTTTTTTTTTATTCGAGTCGAGAAAAAGAAAAAAATCGGCTCAAACACCGAACAAAAAAAAAGAGAAAAAAGAATGAACAGAAAAGAACAAATCAGAAATAAAAAGAAACAAATAGAATACAATGCGTATAGAACGCATTACACTGAAGAAAAAAAAAAAGAGAAAAAAAGACAAGAGATTTTGATTGAGGATTTAAAAAAAAAGAAGACAAGGGATGAACAAGGGAAAAAAAGAAAAAGACATGAATCGATCTCAGGATGTGGCTGGTGTCACCGTCATTTGAAATTCACCAGCACTACCACCACTGGTAGTTGTCGATGTTGCTGTCCGAGTAATTGTTGTTGAAGTCGAAGATATAACAGCAGCAGATGTGGAAATGAGTTGATCACCGGTTGACATCGTATTTACTGAAGTTGATATAACGGTATCAACTGATATTGGAGTTAACAATGATGATGATGATGATAAAGGTTGCAATGAATCTTCTTCATTTAAGGATAACGCTGTTGTCATTGTCGTTGGTGCTGAAAGTGGAGAAGAATTCGATAGATTTGTAGTTGTAGATGATGATGAAGGAGGTGAAAGACGAGATTGATACCAATCTCGATTTTGTTCTAGTGTTTCTAAAATAGCACTTGCATCCGGATAAACTAAATCAGCCCATGTTTCCCATAATGGATGTACAATAAATTCAATAAAACCAACTTGATGTTTTTCAACACTAGCAACACGTTTATCACACATAGGTGAAACTTCTAAACCAAGGTCACGTTCTTTATCACCTTGTCTCCAAAATTCTTCCATTATACGATCAGTCCATTTTATATAAATATCTAATGGTTTAGTTGGATTTGATAAATCAGCACAATGAATCATATTTTGAAGTACTTGAATTCTATCATCATAGGATTCAAGCATAATTATATTATTTCCTGTAACTTTTTTTGATTCAACCATTGTTTTTAAATCAGCTAATAATTGCATATGTTTCGACATATCTGTTGCTAAAACCATATCAATAACCATTTTACGTAGAGTTTTTATTTGTTTAGCAGTTAAATGTGAAAATATATTTCTTTCATCAGCTTGTAATAATTTAAATGCTACAGCTAAGTGATGATTTTCAAGGACACTTTCATCATTATACATTAAGGCTAAATCACTTCCTAATATTAAAGATAAAAATAGAAAAACAAATAAAATAATTATGAATTCTTTTTTTTTTTTTTTTTTGTGTTAAATTTATTTTATACTTGTATTTATTAAGAATTGATTTGTTACACCGGGATGATCAACATCATGTACTGCCGATGCAAATATTGCTGACATTATTTCCAATTCAGTAAATACACCCTATAGTTATTTACATCGAAAGAAAAATTATAAAAAAAAAAGTTTTTTTGTTTTTCTTCTTACATCAAGTGCTGAAGCATTGAGCAATACATGCATTGATTGACAAACATCAGCTCCATGAGCTTTATTATGATATGGTACTGATTGATAATGATCTTCAAGTGTGAGTAAATATGATATTAATGTATGTGGTTCAATATTATATGTTCTTAAAAGTGAACGTTCTTGAAATATTCGATATGTTATTACTGTTAATGGTCTTTGTCCACTTAAATCTTCAATACGAAATGTATCTAAACCCCAATCATTAATATGATTAAGTAATACACGTAATTCTTCAGAATTTGGTGTATCAACACCTAATTCAGGTATTGGACTTGTTATTGTTAATGTTTTTGCATGTATACCAGCTATTTGACCCATTAATGTAGCTGATGACATTGATGTATCAAGTGTTTTTGCTGTTTTAACTGTTGTCAATTCATCTGATTGTGAACCACGAGTTAAATCAACATCGGGTTCTTTTTTGTCTATAATAGAATAATAAAATCTTATTGTTTTTTTTTTTTTGAATAAAGAATTTAATTTACCTGTATAAGTTGAATATAAATAATCACTAATTTGTGCTCCGGATTTATTATTTTCAGCAAAATGGGATAATTCTTTATTGAGCATACGCTTAAACTAAAGATTAACAGATAAAAACAAAACGATTAATGATGTTTATATTTTAAAAAAAAAAAAAAAAGCTGAATTTTTTAATGATACTTTGAGCGAGGCTAAATCGGAAACAGATTTATGTGTTTGCATCGTTTCTAATTGTTCTAAACACCAATCAAGTTCTTCTAATGTAGATATAGCTTGTGACAATGAACTATCATCTTTTATATAACAATAAAAAAAAAAGAGAAAAAACAAAATTCAATTTTAAAATAATTAGATAATATCTTTATACCTGGTGCTGTTGTTATCGTTTTGTTAAGATTAGGTGCAGGCGTTTGTGCACTATTAAGTTGACTTGTTCTTTT